AAACTCAGGCAGAGTTGAAAGGGGCTCATGAAAATTAAAGTCACTTCTATCACAGGAAACCCCAAGGGTTTCAGAACTCTGTACCAAGAACCAAGGACAAAAACCAAAATATTTTTATGCCAATTTGTTAAACACAGATTGAAGGACCCAACGCCTGAGTTCTGATTCAGTAAGTCTAGGGAGGGACTTGAGAATATGTATTTTAACAAGTTTCTAGATATTGCTGATGGCATCCTTCAGAGAAACCACACATAGACAAGTTTCATCCTTGAGGGTCACAAGGATGTGATTCTCTTTCAAATATGAATTATCCTATTGACTCATGGGTTTTCTGTCCTCAGTTCTATCAAGTTCCTTATAAATATATAGATTATTCTGTTCAAAAGTTCTGCCAAACTTTACTCTAGAACAAGCCCCCTTTCAACCCACACATGTCCTCATAAGAGGGAATAATTGTAGAGAGGAAGACAATGGAAAATGAAAAACACCAGTATAAAATTCATACAGCTGAGCAAAGCCATGTCCAGGTGAGGTGAACTGACCCCCTTCATGGGCTGGAGTTTAAGGCCAAGCCATTCATGGATATCTTGGTAGCAGAGTCCAGGAACCTCTAACAAACTGCAGGGCAGGGAAGGGGTACCCCAGAACCCCCAAATGTGCCTGCTCTAAATACAGTCTACCATTTGCTGCATCAAGACAAAACATATTTTACATTTCTTTCCTTAAATGGAAAATAACTTTAATACAATTAGTGTGCAACAAAGACAAGGAAAAAAGTGTTCAAATTAAGCATCCCCTTATGGTAAATGCCCAGCCAAACATTGTTATCCAAAACAGGACTGCTGAGGCCCAAAAGTTTGCCATAAGTCTAAAACACTTCCTGGTGGGAATCCATTGAGAAGGGTCAGAAACAGCCAGTTATGGGAGGAAAAGAGCAAAATCAAAGTCAAGATAAATGCTGCATTATTAACCTTCCCATGGGTCTCTTACCCGAGTCTGTTTCAAGTATCTCTTTCCATGTCCTCCAAGCCCTTAGTCCAAGGCCAAGAAGCAAATGCAGCTCCTTCACAAGTCTCTTTGCTCCATGTGCCTCCTCCCCAAATCCTTGCTCTTCAAGCTTCTTCCTTTCTTCCTCCAGTTCCTCTCTGACTCTCCCTCCTTCCGCTCAGCTCCCCCCTTCCTTGGCTGAGGCAGGGAACCTGGAACCTGCCCTTCCCTTGGGGATCAGCCTGTTACAATAGAAGGGGGAATTCTTCTGGCCTTGGAGGACCAGAATCTTTTCTTCCTTGGGTCTCTGCTGTTCAGATGGGTGTGGTCCTTAGCAACTAACACTTTCACTTTGCTACCAAGATATCCATGAATGGCTTGGCTTTAAAGCACCTTCATTCTATTTTCCACAGCTGAAAATCCTGGTTTAGCCAATATCACCTTATATTTTCCCTTCAGTTCTATTTAACTCTGAATTTTAATTAATTTGGATAAGTATGTATGGAGCCAGAAATGATTAAATTCAGCCTTTCACCATACTCTCTGTCTAGATCCAAAAACTCAGATCACCTTTCCTCAGACATTCCATCAACTGACTCAGCAAATCACAGAGCATCTAACTATAGGTTTAAGTTCCTGTTCCAAATCAGGCTGGGTATCCTGAAGTTTACTTCAACTTTTAAGGTATGTGTGCTAGTGTAATCAGAAAAACAGGTTTAGAAGCCTTTGCTGACCTGTTTTTCATTTCTCATTCTACACTGGATCACTGCCTTCAAGAAGCAGTGATTTGAGTGACCTGGTTCCCTGGGATTAGACTATCCTCTAAGGATGTCTCAACTCAAGATATGTTGACAGAAATATTTTGAAGCTTCTACTCTCCCTTCTGGCTTTGATTGGCAGTGAAAAGGAGGTGCAGAAAGTCAAGGGCCTGAGGCAAGAAATGCACTGACAGATAAGAAAACTTTTGGTGGTATAGTGCAAGATTGAAAACACCCACTTTAGACTCAGTTGACTCTGGGGTTGAATTCTAGTCTACTCTTTTGCTAGTTTTGTGTTTGGAGTAAATGAATGTCTTATTTGCCTCAGTTTTTGCATCTGTAAAATGGAATTGATGATACCTACTCCACAGAGTCAGTGTGTATCGTGGCTGGAAACAAGGGCTCTAATGCCAGATTGCTTGGGGCAAATGTTGCCTCTGCAATGACTTCACCTTTCTATGAGTCAGCTTCTTTACCTGTATAACTGGGTGACAATGTCACTGCTTGCTAGGGAAAGAATTCACCAGAAAGTGATAGGTAGAGACCATCAAAGCAAGGCTTTATTGGAGACTTGTAATGGGAAGCCAGTATTGGAAAGGAGAATTTAGCCTGACTCCTCGAAGGGAGTTAGGTGGAGGTATTTAACCTCATGGTTACGTCCATGAGGTGGGCAAGAGGAGAACAGCCTCACAGCTTGTTCTGGTTGGGCTAGGCCTGGCCATGTGCAGACTGGCTATATCCAGCTGCTCACAGGCACTGTTGGCCTTTGTCTTCTAGGAATTGTGAATCAATCCTTAGTCAGGATCTAATGCTTTGTGTCTGTCTTGGTGCCTCATGGTCAGTGTGGGCTAAGTTGTTTGGACAGGGTTTGCCAAACCATGATTTTGTCCACCTGTTCCCAACAGGATTTGGAGCAATTCACCCTACCAATTCATAATTTCTTTTACCTGGGCTGTCTCAATAATGGTACTTTCCTCGGGTGAAATGATATCTTATTTGACGCTCCTGAGTATTCAGCTGCATTCTCAAAGAATACCAGAATCAAACTAAAGAATGAAGTGGTTCCTCACCACTAAAACTTAGTCTGCAAATGGCTACAATACAGGATATGTTATAATCCCATTGTGTGTTTTTAATAAAGAAATAATTATGGACAACAGAAAATGTATTTATAGATACTTTAACCTCCCCATTTATTTGATAAAAATAATTCAAAGTAAATAGAAAAATTGAAGAAGAAACCAGATACAGATGAGAACCTGGGTGTGTTGGGACCAGACCCCCCAAGGCAGCTGATAGAGGGAGCAGCGCAGTGGGTCTCCTCACAGGGCACAGATGGTGTGGCAGTGAGGCTGCGGAGGACCTCCAGGCTACAACCAGTCCTGGAAGGAGGTGGAAGTTGTTTTTTTTTTTTTTGATTTATTTATTTATGCATACAGAACTGGGATACAGGCCAGAGGTGCAGGAGTGGTGAGAGGATTCACCAGAGACAGAGAGGGGAGCAAAACCATGTGCTGTGGTATGTGGTCACCTCCAGGGCAGAGATTGAATTCATGTTGAAGTGGCTTTGGCTTTAGCTGTGCTTTAACCTGCTGAGCCACCAGGGAGGTCCCTGGTGGAAGTTTTTAAGTATTTGCTCCTTCAGTTTGTCAACCACTAAGTAAAAACTTTGTCTATTGAAACAGCGGACACTTTAAGAATCAATATAATGAGATGATAAAATTGAGTTCTACTAAGAGTTTGGAAGTTTCTTGAGAAATCAGGATAAATGTAGCAAGAAAAAGAAGCTGTCAGAGACAAGCATTTTCCCACTGTGTTAATATCAGGAATAATTTTACTCATCCTTTGCTATGCAATTTAGATAATTTTAAGAGGCAAATAGCATGCAAAGAAAAAGTAATGTGGTGAAATTCTACTTTTTTTAATGATGTTCAAAGAATGTCTAAATTTGAGAGAATTCTCTATTAAGAATGAATAGCTCATAATTAAGTGGAATGTTTAATAAAGTTTATTGAATAGCATTAGATTAATAGGAAGCACTGAAGAGCTGGATCCAGAGACCAAAAGAAAAAAATACTCTGTGTAAAACATATGTATAAAAAGTTTGTCAAGGCAAATGTATAAAAGATCACATCTAAATATCATTTTTGGAATGCTTTTCTGAATATTCCCATAAACTTAAATTGGGGACCTTTGAATGTTATTATCTTTATCAGAAAAAAACCTTATACAGGCATGCATTAAAAGGGCCCTATCCCTCTCAATAGTGAGCTTCTCGATGGAGGGTATCTCCACCTGCAAGTCCTTTCTCAGGTTGAAGTTCAGGGGTTTCCAGACAACACTTCAAGGGTCTTTTGAAAGTCTGACTGAAAAGCATTCAAAATGATTGAAAAGCATTTTTTCATTTCTTTCTTAATTCAAACCCTGTGTTCAGATTTGAGGTTTGAATTCTCATTCCTTTATTTCCTAGGAGAATTTAGCTTTAAACAAAAGCTAGATTATCAAAAGAGACCTATATATCTAAGAATTATCCTCAAAGAAATTTTTCTCTCTGATGAATAAGAATGCAGACTCCAAACATTCAGGAAGGGGAAAAGGCTCTTTGCACTATGAGCTTCTACAGGGTTCCTCTGTGTGTATTCTCATCCTCACGTATACAGGGAAAGTTTCTTTTCTTGGAAAAGTTCAACCAAACACAAAGCTCAACTCCAGAATAGGAATGAGTGGGGCGGGGGTAGCGGTTGGGGGGGTGGGCGTGGAGGTGGTGGTGCAGGAGTGCAGATGCCTGTAGCGGTGATGTTCCTGTCAGGCAACCTTTTTCTTATACACTGCAATTTGTGGAGCATTTTTTCTGTGAAATAAAAACAAAAGCAAGATAGTAATGTTTAGAAAACAATTTACCAGAAACTGTGACTTTTCCCTGGAGATATTGAGGAATACTGTACATACAGATTCCCAGTTTATTTCACTGAGCTGCTAGAATGAGTCAGCCTTATTCTAGCTGATAAGTAGTAAAAATAAAAAATAGGCATTTTTCTTAAGACCTTCTCATAAATTCAACTTGTACATTGAAAATATTTTGTAATGACTATATTAAAATTAATTAATTAAAAATAGTTTGTTACTTCTTAGTTACCCTCTGAAATATTTAAAATAAATCAAAGATAAATGATAAAATGGCCCCATTCTGAACCACCCAGGAAAAGGCAACTCTTGGGTGCAAATTGGAATCTGAAAACCCTTGGTATAGCTGACTTACTTCTGTAATACTTTCAACAGTTTTTTAATCCATTTGACGTGAGGGTTCAAGCATACAGGTACCTTATTCTTTCTCCAGACTCTAAGAGAGGAAAATAAAAACAAAAAAATAAAGCAGAATTACATGTTTGTCAGTCTTGCCTTTAAGCCTGCAAACAAATATTCCTAGATGACTTGAAATCAGAGGTAGGCCGTTTAAGCTCTGGAGTAGGTGATTGCAGCAAAAGGTCTGAGGAATAATAAAAATATATGTTCAGGGGCCTCCCTGGTGGTGCAGCGGGATAAAGCGGCAGCACTAAGAAGCTAAGGACAATTCAGCATGAGTTTGATACTGCCCCAGAGGTGATCCACAAGGCGGGGCAGACCTCTCCTGACCCGCCCACTGCTCTCTTCAGCAGTGTACTTCCTCTGTCTGCCTGTTCTGCTCCCTCCTCTGTCTCTGCTGAATCTTCTCACTGCCCCTCCACCTCTGGCATGTACCCAAGATCTGTATGCATAAATAAATAAATCTTTTTTTAAAAATACTATGTTCAGACTGGTATGTATGAGCCAGTGGAAATGATTATGAAGCTGACAGAATCTCTTATATCAGAGGTTAGTGTTTTGTTGACAACCCTTGCATGAGTTGGAGCCAGGCCAAGTAGCTGAGGCCAAGATTGGCTTACTTTGAGAGTTATAACATCTTTAAAATAGGTTTATCTGTTGAGCTTGGGAGAACAATACAGATTATAGAACGCACTTTCTAAGGATGTTTTATTTGAAAAACTTCAATATGTGGAGTATTGACAGAGCTGATTGCTCTTTGGGACAGCTGCATTTGGTTGAACCACTCGTTAGTGAGGTTTTCACTGCTTTAAGAAATTAAATAAGAGCAGCAATAATACTTAATAGCTGGCATTGTTCAAGAACTTACCAATGTACTAGGCATTATGCTCAGCTGACAACATGAATTATTTCAATTCACATCACAAAAAATCCTGTGGTAGAGGAACTAGGATTTCCTTACCTTCCGATGAGGAACTTGAGGTTTAGCCAGTTTAAATAACTTATCCAAGATTGCACAACAAATGCATGATAGAGCAGGATTCAAATAAAGGTTATCTGATCCCTACATTTAGCTATCTCTTTCCATGGGCATGATCTGTCTGACTGCCAGTTTCCAGATGTATACTGAGTATTTTACCTACAGAGGAATAGTGAGATCTCCCTGACGACAACAAACTAGGAGACTCAACTAGACTCTTTTGGAAAACACAAATTTTTTGAAGTGCCATTTATCTTAGCTAAAAAATGATCAACAGTAAAGATCATACACCTGGTTTTGCAACTCCACTCTTGTAAGTGAATGAATATTAGAGAAGTCAGAAGTCATATGACAGTTGTCATCTTGAGCAGACACTTCCCAGTTTGATTATTGAGTTCATGATGTAAAATCAGTTTTAAGTCCACATCGACTTACAGTATTTTCACCCCTGACTAATGTGAGTTTTTCATAACGACTTAGCAGATTTTGTTTCTGTATTTGTTTGAAACTCAGGAAAGCAGAATTTGTTGAAAGGACAAGAAATCAAAGTTGTGTCACTTTAAAATGATTACCATTAAAGCAGAAAAAAATTAGGGTATACCACTTCCTGGTTGAGAGAAAAGAGACTTTATTCATGACAGAGGAAAAGCAGTGGGGAAAAAGGAGTCTCTTTTGTCTAGACAGCCAGGGAAGTGATTCAGTCTGTCGCAGCTAGAAGTCACTTCTCTGAGTTTGAGGTTAAAAATTGTTTCGCTAAAATGTTCATTGACAAAGATGTCAGTGAAAGGTTAATGCCTTTATAATGAAAAATTCCCCTGTGTATTTCTGATGTCCCATTTTTCTTTTTTACAAATTGATTAGAACTATTCAAAGACCCAAAGCACTGATATAAAAATGGTAACAAACAAAAATGACTGCTTACAAATATTCCCCAAACTAAAGAAGTCTAAGAGAGGAACTTTTAATGCAAGCCAAATCAGAAATGCCCTGAGAAAGGGATTATCTTTAATGCTTCAGGGTATTTATGTTCTTGGTTCATTAAAGACAGATCTTGAAAGGGAAAATCACAGTTCTAAGTAATGATACACAAAATATTTGTAGGCTGCATTTAAAATTTCAGTGCAGCAACCCAGCATTTGTTGAACCACTACTATATGGGATTTTTAATTTTTTCTATTATACCCCTTATATAAATATCTCAGATGTTACTTATTTTTATTTCCAATACTTTATCTTTCACATTTATCTATACCCCACCCCCACCCCCTGATCTCCAAAGAACTTATTTTCTGGTGGGAGTGAAAAAGAAAATAGAGTACCTGATTGTTTTAAAACAATGTTCCTATAACAATTGCAACTAATTTACTGAATATTTACTAATGTGCCAGGCCCTAGATTTGCATGTGATATGAGAAGTCTCATTTGATGTGCCATGCAAAATGTTTTGATAGGAGTATCCATAGATTTCTCTGGAGTACCGGAAAGGAAGGGTCACAGAAACAAGGGGTCCTATCATTTCAACAAAAGAAATTATCTATTAAATGCTTGCAGCCACTGCTGTCCCCTCAGCCTAACTCTCTAATAATCAGGAATGGAATCAAAGTTGACTTAACATAAAGCTAAAGGACAGTTCCTTCAAGTGGTCATCCAGACTGAGGATTATTGTGAATACTTATTTCCCTGCTCTGGAGCTTCCTGGGCAGTAAAGGGGCTGCTTCTGGTGCTAATTGCAGGATGGTGGTTACGAGAAAAGGGTTATTTCCCCTTCGTTTCCTCTCTCCCTCCTTCAGCCTTCCTCCTTCCTTTCTCAATTCCTTCCCCTTTCTTTTATTGACTATATTTGACATGTGACAATCTATAGATTTAATATGCAAATCATGTTCATTTGATATATTTATATATTTAATACAATTGCCATTGTAGCAATTGTATTAATATTAATTGATACAATTAATATTAAGCACCACTATCACATTACATGATTATCCTTTCTCTTTAGTGGTTGGTTGGTAGATAGTAAATTTTTTGCCTCTTAGCATGTTTAATGACTGTAGTAGACTATTGTTTATATTCATTATTTTGTGCTTTAGATCATCTCTATAATTTACTATTGTCCGTTTCTAGTGGTGTGCCTTAGTGAAATTCCCTAAGCCTCAGTTTCTGAAAATTTAAAGGATAATAAAAATAGACATAGATTAATCGGGCCACTGGCATAATAAAAATGGATAAATATCTGCAAAGTACTAAGTTCAGGGCTGCTGTAAGTAAATATTTAACAAATATTACTGATTCCCATTATCTTGACTTTTTAAACAACGCACAAAGTAAAATACCATGAAATTCTTGAAACTAGATTTTGGGTGCTGATTATAATATCAGATGTCAACATATAATGCTGTACACATGACATTTGTATAATGTTATAAACCAATGGTACGTCAATAAAAATTTTTAAAAATTCTGCATTTGATGCTGATTTACATTGGGAGAAAAGACTCACATATATTTATCTTCTTGTAACTTACATGAGTTCTGATTTGGGGCACCCATTCCCAGCGGCAAAGAATTGAATCCGTTCAATGGTGTGGATGGGGATCACCTCTGAGGTCACTCGGTGACACTGACACTTTAAGCGTGTGTTAAAGGTCTCCAGAACACCTACAAATACAATCAGTTATTTTAATCCCTTTGGCATATAATTTATAACTAGAATTTTATTCAGTTCTTTTATGCTATGCATTTGAAGATTTACAAATTCCAAATCCTTGCTTCCAATCGTAGTTCTTTAACCTTTGTATATTTATGTTTATCTTGGCTTATTTTCTAACAAAACCTTAAAACTAAAATTAACCTTTTAAAAATCACAGTTACTATTAAACTTTATGTTAACATTATATTGGTACTCAGCTTATTGTCCATGTAGTAAAATTTAAGGCCCCCCCAACCCCCACTGGGGATTTACAATTCAATTATAGTTAATACAATATAAAAACAATTGGTCTTCAACCTCAGCACAGAACAATTGAGTAGATAAATTCTTAACAGAGTTCCTGGAGCAATAACAAGCTGTAACAGGTTTTGCTCATCATACACCATGATCCCCATTTGGCCACTGGCTCTTGGCTGCCCTCTTGAAGGAGAGAGCACAGAAGACATTTCTTGGTTTGTTTGTTTGTTTTCAGTATCTTGGTTCTCTATCTCCTTTGCCATCATTACTATAGAAAGCCAATAAATATCCAAAACTATTTTTATTCAAAAAAAAATGATTTGTCCTAGACACTTTTATAAATAACCGACCTCTTGCATTTGATGAATACTTTCCTTTTTTAACCACGGTGTCAACCATTGCTTGATGTGTATTTGCAAGTAAAAGTGACCTAGCTCTCAAGGTGCTTATCATTTACCAGGGAAAACAAATAAAGAAAAGCTAAAATATCACAGAATGCTATATTTCACCCAAGATCCCAACTGCATGATGGGGACAGAAGACTTTGCCAGGAGCAAAGGAAAAATTTCATGGAAGAAGAGAAAGATGAAGGTCTTGAAGAATGAAAATAACATAGGAAGCAAAATAAAAACTGAAAAGTTTCCCCCCAATTTTTCCTCTATGCCTGAGCAGTGTATATACCACCTTGCACATGCACCAAATTCCTTCAGCAATATACAAACTTACCCCTTCAACTAGATAAGTGTCTACTTAAGTGACTATAGTCAGTCTGTTAGGCTTTGCAGAATGTGTATTCTTCTGTACTTGTTGTACTTACAAATTTCACTTCAGGTCTAACCATCTGGAATTGCAGCAAATTTTCTCTGCTAGAAACCAAGCTAGTGAGCTCTATAATCTTTGAACCCTAGAAAGGGTTTGATCAGATGGGGTAGCAGTGAGAGACAGAACAAAAAAGAGATACATGGAAAGAATTAGTTACAGCAGCATTGAATCTGCAAAAAGCAGGAATACATAAAGTAAGTGTAATTCACATGGACATTGGGCGTCCAATATCTTTTCCTGTGGATAACAAGTTTAAGAAGTACACATGCTTCTAGCCTATAGGAGTTAAATCATGAAGTACCTTACTTTCAGAAATCAAGTGAAGTTGAGTAGATTCCCCCCCCCCTTTAGCCATATTTTCTCCCATTTTATAATTAAACAACAACAACAGGCTGAAGACCATTTCTGTTCAAAGGACAATGACAGTATAAATGAAAGTTCTCACCATGGACTGGAGAGAGGCTGCTGACCAGCAAAACAAGAAGCAGGATTCCTGGGGTGAACCTCATTCTGCCTGAAGGTGGAGTTCAGACTTCAGCTCTGAGTCTAAACTGTGGGTCATCAGCACAGATATTGCTATTTATTTACCCCAGCCAGGGCCCTCCCACTGCCTTTGTCTCCAGTAGGTCAGCTGCATCATCAGTTTTTTTTTTTTTTAAATAAAACCACCCAATATTGCTGAGTTTGCTTTTCTTTTGAACTCCTCCTGCAAATTTTATGAATTTGCTTCAAATCACTATCAGTTATAGTACAATATTTCTTGAAACTATGGACTACAAATGGCTGTAGGAATTGTGGGGGTGGGGGTAGGGGGGGAGGGAAAAGATATCAGCTTGAAGGCCCTGTCATGCGCTCCCAGATCGCAATCAGTGACTGTGACTACTAGTCTCTGCGTAGGGCCAGCAGCCATCACAGGCTGCTATATGCCTACAGAAAGCAGGGTCTGTCATGCACATGGTTGTGTTCCGAGCACCTGCACTAGTGTCTAGCCCTTGGTGGGAGTTCAGTAAATATTTGCAGAACTAATGAATGTCCCGTTATATACAGAGTCTGATGCTGACTGGGTTGCTGTTTTCCTACCAGGCTTTCCCACCTGTTTACTATCTGAAATATATGATTATTTATAAAATCTGCCCAACATGGAAATTCTGGAAGTGAACTAGCATTTCTCTCCTCCCTGGTGTGCTTGTTTCTTAAGGATACAGGGAAGAAGGCAACAGCTTTGGGAAAGAGGAAACTTCTGACTCTGGTATGCAAGTTACTGAGCTCGAGAACCAGGTGTCATTGGAGATATTTTTAGGATTTCATCAGATGCTGAAGCCCATATTGCAGTTGGTCTAACAAAGCATTTGTGTGGCTTGGTTTTGATGCTACCAGATAGCATATGGGAATAGTCAGCCCAAAGCCTTAACTCACTCACTAGAAACTCTTTGAGTCAAAAGAAGAAAGGTTTGTGGACAATGGCCATCCTGGCCTAGGGTACCTGTGGGCAGGGCTATCCTGGTAGTATATAGGCACAGAAATATCAAATCAGACCTCCTGCACCAGAGGAAACTGGGAGGTTTTGTTGTCCTTGTGTGACTTCCTAACCAAATTGAGTTTTGCCACCTAATTAGCATTGTGCATGCTTAGCTTCCCAGATGTCCCAGTATGTGTCAGGGTGATGGGTGGTGATGTCAACACAACCTTCATACAACAAGCAGTTCCCAGGTTGCTGCAAATGGTCCCAGTGACTGGGGACTCATCCATCTTCAGACTGCTCTCTATGTGCTGGCTGTTCTGGTTGTTAGAAAGTTCTTTCTTATGTATATGTGGAAACTGCTTGTCTAATAGTTCAGTCACTTTGTCCTAATCTAACCCCTTCCTTATCACTACCCCAAAACAATTCTAAATACTTTTTTGTTTGTCAGCATTCTAGATATTTGAACACAGGGTATGTCAGTCAGGTTCCTTGGGAAGCAGGATAACCCATGATAGATGAAAAAGGAAGGTGAGGGGAGAGATTTAGATGGTGTTGCAGATCTGATAAAGTTTATGACAAGGCACTGGAAGCTCCAGAGAAAAGACTGTCTATTGAGAGACCCATAGTGAGAAAAAATGCCCAGTCTCCTCCACATCTGCCATGTACATTGGCTGGGTTTTCAGAAACAGCAAGGTCTCTGGGAGCTACTGAAGCAAATCCTGAGGTTAACAGCTGGATGCTGTCAGCAAACTGCACTTCTCATAGCTCGCCAGAAAGTTATTTCTTTAAAGGAGATCTGAGCAGTAAACCTCCATGACTGTCACACAGGGTTGGAAATCAGGGCACAGAGGTTAAGAAAACAAACTATGGAGTCATGAAGTCAATGACTTTGGACAGGTCATTAATTTAGCTATGGCTTCTAATTATCAGCTTTCAGATGAGAATAACACTAATTTTATTATTTTTTAAAAGATTTAGTTATTTATGCATACAAGTGCTGTAGTGCAGGCCAGAAGTACTGTGGATGAGAGGATTCACCAGAGACAGAGTGGGGAGCAGAACAGGCAGATCCACTGAAATACACCACTGAGGGGAATAGTGGGTGAGGCAGGAGAGGCCTGCTGCACCATGTGGGTCAGCTCCCTGACCAGGGATCCATGGTTCAAACTTTTGCTGCCATGGCTGTGGATTGCTTTCTAGTGCTGTTACTTAACCTGTTGTACCACCAGGGAGAGCTCAATATTAATTTTTTAAAATGATTTACTTATTTATGTTTACAGAACTGAGGTACAGGCCAGAGGTATGGGTAAGAGGATTCACCAGAGACAGAGCAGGGAGCAGAACAGGCAGATTGACGAAGTACACTGCTGAGGGGAGCAGCGGGCAGGTCAGAAGAGGTCTGCCATGCCATGGGGGTCAGCTTCCTGTCCGGGGATTGAACTCGTGCTGCAGTGGCTTCAGAGAGCTTCATAATGTGGTGCTTTAACATATTGTGCCACGAGAGAGAGCTTCAATACTAATTTTAATTTGGAGTATATGTAGAGTTCTCAGCAGCAGAATGCCTGGCACATAAAATGTATTCAATAGCTAGTCTGTTTGTCCATCTGTCCATCCATCCATCCATCTTTATAATTATCCACCCATACAGAATCACCCAGTATTCCTGAACATCCATCCATCCATTATCCGTAAAATCTAACTGATTTCTAGTTTAAAACATCCACATTTGAAATGTAAATATCCCTTTTTCTTTTAACATATAGCATAGTTTGAAACACTCACACCATCTTATTTTTTTCCCTATCACTTAAATCTGCAAAAAAATAAATCAGGAAAAAGAATGCAATAAGTCTGAGAACTACTGGTCTAGAAGAGCATGAGTTACCTACATAGTCAAATTGACTTGATGTGGGTCTGCTAATCCTAAGCAGCCTATGCAGCCTCCATTTTGCTACCTACACTTCTGTATTCCTAAAGCAAGGTCAGAACTGCCCGGTCATTGGGGCCCAACCCTACAGGGTGCCTTTCACATTAATTTAGACCAGAAAGCTGGATCACTCTGGGAAGAGCGCACATCACAAGGTATGAATGGAAATGCCTTGGGGGTGGGGGCTGGTGACAGATGCATAAACTTTCTCCATTACTGAGGTACAACCACGTGCAGGGAAAGCTGGTGTGTGTGGCATTGACTGAAACATAACAAAGGACCCCAAAAGCTGATCAGTGAAATGCTTATTGATAAGACTGAAATCTTGACTGGGGAATCAGGGCTGGATCTACATACCAAGCTATCAGCAGATGAGAAATACAGTTCCACCCTTCCTCTATTTCTTATACTTCCCTCTCACCTTTTCTGCGTCCCCATGTGACTAATGCTGTATGACTGGTTTATCAATAAAAAGGCCAGGCTCTTGCTCTTGAGCAGCTTCCTGCATTAAGTAGCCTGCTCCATGACTCTCTCTTTGTATCAGTGTGCTGTTGCCTGTTGTAACAACTTCAGAAGGATGTTTGGACAAGTCATCCCCTCAGAGTATGACCTACGGGCCCCTTAGAAAGTGAGCAGCACAAAACAAAATGTCGAACAGTGACAATAAGATGGACATTCTCAAGATACCAGCGAAATGTCACAAAAATAGAGATGTCGTCCCTGGCCAAAGGATCACTGGTCTAATTAGATTTGGACTGACATTGAACAAAAGGTCCCCAGTAAAGCTAACATGATGAAAGGGTACTATTCTTATAATTTTTTAAAAAAGATTTATTTATTTATGCTTACACAACTGGGGTACAAGCCAGAGGTGTGGTGGGTGAGAGGATTCACCAGAGACAGAGTGGGGAGCAGAACAGGCAGATCAATGAAGTACACTGCTGAGGGGAGCAGTGGGTGGGTCAGGAGAGGTCTGCCCTGCCATGTGGGTCACTCCCTGGCCCGGGATCGAACTTGTGCTGCGGTGGCTCCGGAGAGCTTCATACTGCAATGCTTTAACCCGTTACACCACCAGGGAGAGCCCTATTATAATTTTTAAGTAGTCTATATAGTATGGGCAAAAGAGATACCACAGTAACCAAACTGAGAACGTTTCTCTCATACCATTTGAAAGTTAACAACTAGGAAACAGAAACTTACTCCATTCTGTTAATAAACATTTTACTCCACTGCCACCGAATACCTCACTTTACTTGCTTCCACATAACTTCCAACGCCAAGAGGGAAGTATTATAATGTAGGTTGTTAGAGTTCAGGTTCTGAGATCAGACTGGGGTAGAATCTCTGGTCCAACACTTCGTGACTTGCTGCCATCACTCAGGCTAGCTCCTGTTGAGCTTAGGAACTAATAATAGAAACATCTTTTTAGAGGTGATATAATGGGGATATCAGAGTTCCAGGAAATTGATTTGTTTGATGTTTGAGCAAACATTAAATAAATAGCTGTATTTTCTTTATGTTTTGTGAAAACATAAAAACATATTAGTTTTATCACTTTCTTAATTTATTATATTTATTTTACTTTGTTTTGATAGGGGCACAACCTAAGATCTATCCTCTTCCCAAGGATTTGAATGTTGAATGTTGAAGATGGGACAATACTGTACCTCAGCTCTCTGGAGTTTATTCATTTTGCTGAAGAAGAATTTGGCCTTAATTTGTGAGTCAAACTTCTAACGAACTAAAATGTCACTTAGGTCTCCATTTGATGTATATGATTCCTTGAGTTTCACGGTGGTCTGGTCAGAAAGCTGTTCCTCTTTGAGGCTATTATTCAATGTCAACAAAATTTTATTGGTCTCGTTCCCTGAGAAGATACTGTGGAAATCTGTAATGGCTACAAAGGTACTAAAATTGTGACAAAGACTTTACCTTTTGCCTTCATTTTCATCTTGACTGAGTTTTTATCAGACAGTGGACTCAAGTGTCATACCCCTTTGGAAAATATATTTTCCAGAGGTAATTGAATTCATATATTTAAGTTTTGCTCAAATTCAGCTCAAATGTAGTGAATGCCAGACAAAGCTCAAATGTGTCTTATCTAAAACTCTCCTACTTGT